TGATTTAGTAAAATCGTAACAATATATATATATATGTACGAATTCATGTTATATTTAATTAATTTTATATGTAGTGGGTAGCTTTTATGTTGTGTATTGTACTGTCTCAGCGCGTCTGAGCACAGCAATGTATAAATATATACTGGGTTTTTCGTATACCTTTTTTGTATGCTGGGTGCTTGGCTTAGCTTATACTAGTATGTGCGTATATATACTTATGTACATACGTATCTTTGCCTGCTTGCTGTTGTAAATTACGAAGGAGTGGAAATTGCCGGAATGCGAAAAAATCACTTTATGTATACGTGCGTATGTATATGCATGTACCACGGTTGGGTAGCGGTGATTTGCTATGGGGGTGGTAACTTCGGACAGTGTGATATGTTTGTACTGGGCCGGTTCTGGTCCCGTTGGGAGGGGTGTTTGGGCCAGTTAGTATGTATATACCGAGAATATATATACTTTGGAGGATGTGTGAGAGCGCACACACTGATCCGATTCTGGTCCTTTTCGATTGTGTTTTGGACCAGTTGATGTTTATTAAGGGGGGATTTATATACGTGAGGGCATATATAATAAGCGGTTTTTTGTATTAAATTATATACTATTGAAGGGGAAAGCGAGCGTTTTTGTATATATGTTTTAATATATTTATTATATGAGCGCTGTTATAATTGGGTACTCGCTATGTATATTATATATTGTGAGAATGGAGTAGTTTAGCGGATCAGCTAAACTTAATTCAATATGCAATCGAGTGGACTTACTTTGACACTCGGACTTATTACAAACCACTTTTGATTATTCTGGGAGAAGGGGGGTGTGTTGTCTTCTATTTAGTGCTGGTGTTCCTGTGTTGTTCACGTTTTACCTCTTATTTTTTCTTATAATCGATTTTGTAGTTGATTTGGTTGCTGTTGTTATTTTTTCTTTATTGTTTTATTTAATTTTTTTATTTTCTTTTTTTATTTATATTATTTAACCTCTATATTAATATTTGGTACTTATTTTTTTCCACTTTTTCACTTTTGTGTAGTCGTGTGTGTACATAGATATGAATATATGTATGTATATATGTATATATTTTTCCCGCTTGTATTTTCCCGATGAGATTTCAATTTGTACTTAAATCGATTATTTATGTATTATACTTTTGTTTATTTTCTCGTTCACTTTATTTATTCAAACAATTTTTTTTCTGTTATTTAGAATTTTATAAAAAAGTTTTTTATTTTATAATTTTCATTTTAACATCTGTATGTTTGTATGTGTATTTGCGAATTCACTTTTCCATTTACTTCACTTTGTTCCACCGTTATTGTTTTCCGTTTTGTCACGTGAGCTAGAAATGTTATTTTTATGTATTTAATGTTTCAAAAGTTATTATTTATATTTATATGATATATTATTATACTTTTCCTTTTTTGCATATAGGTAATGGAAATTATGTAAAATATGTACATATGTATGTTTTATATACGTTCACCGCACAAAGAATAAAGTGGTAAGTATAAACTTTATTATGTACATATGCATACATATGTGAAGCGCTTTAATTTAACTTTTTTTCAGGAGTTAGGGATCACTTTTTAATTTAAAAAACACATTTAATATTACTGCGCGGGACAAATTTTGACGATTTTCTTCGCTCGCTCTTCGTAAATCGGGGGGTTCGAGTGAATTTTAAACACATTTTTTATTGAATAGCTCAGTCTTTTTTTTCAACCAGGTTTTGGCACCATGCAGGAAATTTCAAATTAAGATATGATAATTACACCTTTTTTATTTTTATATTCAAACTTTCTCTTACACTTTATTAATTTGATTGTTGACAAATTTGTTTACAGCGAGGAAATGTCTAAAACGAATTTTTCTTTAGTTTATATACATTTTCTCTTTACATAATTATTCAGGGGATTATTTATAAATTCATTTAATTAACATTTTATTCGTTATATTATTCCGTAATTCATTTGATTAAAATATATTTTGTTAAAAATATTACTTATAGGAAGTTGAGGTCATCATCATCCATGTCTTCAACATAGTGTTTTCCTTGCCGAAGGTCGACCGCAATTAGGAGACTTAACTTCCTTTTTTATTTAATTGATTTCCTATAGTTTTTGTTAATTGGTCGCAACAAGACTCGAACTGTGACCTATCGAATGGCAGAGGTACATCGTGCCTCCTTTTGGGTATACTTTCTGCATAATGACTGATATTATTACTAACTTGATAGTTCACTATATCTACGTTTTTTGATATATGTACATGTATTACTGTGTTTATGCTATTCGTGTAGGCGACGCGTTCTTCAAATATCTGATGGCATTGAACATATTGGCAAAATCCGCTGGGAATTGGCTGGGACCCTTTTACTTGTATGGATTTTGTGTTACTTCTGTATTTGGAAGGGAGTCAAATGGACGGGCAAGGTTGTTTACTTCACTGCTCTATTTCCATATGTTTTGTTGACTATACTGCTTATCCGTGGTATAACACTGCCAGGAGGTTTTGAGGGGATAAAATTCTATGTGATACCAAACTTTTCCAAACTTACGGAATCAGAAGTAATGCTATCTAAGAAAAATATTTTTAACCAATTAAATAATTATATATTAACTATTGTAGGTATGGATCGATGCCGTTACCCAAATGTTCTTTTCCTACGGTCTAGGCCTTGGGACCTTAGTTGCCCTTGGCAGTGATAACAAATTTACTAATAACGTCTATAAGTAAATCGGTTATTGACTATGTAGAAAATAAATATAACAGCTAATGTATTACTTTTAAAGGGATGCGTTAATTGTATGCACAGTTAACTCAAGTACAAGCATGTTTGCTGGATTCGTGATCTTTTCGGTTGTGGGTTTTATGGCGCACGAACAGCAAAGACCGGTAGCAGAAGTTGCGGCATCTGGTAAGTTAAAAACTCGATTATGGTCTACACAGATTTTAGTTTGTAGTAGTATATACCGCCTTCAATAATGGCTCATGTAATTCTTTTTTTTTTTTTAATTTTCAGAATTATTAGTGAGAAAATGCCTATTTTAGTTTTCGATTGATGACTATTTTCAAAATTCAAACATTTTTTATAGTGCATATATATAGTACATATACATAATAATACCTGCGCACACCATCCATCCATTACAATAAATCAAAGCAATATAGTTTTTATTATTCGGCTTTAAGCAAAGAACTTCACTGATTCGCAAGAAGGAAGAGGTCTGTTTTACACACTTTACAATAAAGGAAATTTAGGAGATCAACAAGTTGCAGGTGTCGCATTTAAAGATTGTGTCAATCATATAAAATATAAAAGCAGTTACAGCACCAGAAACTATTTATTATCAAGATCAAGATTATTCCTGAACTTATGTATTTGTTGCTTTTTTAAACCCTTACCCTTCATGAAATTTTAGTATGTTCTTGTTGTTGTTGTAGCGGTTCACTAACCCCGCTTAGGAACAAGTTAATCAATTTAAATCACCGAGGTCATCTAACTGGTGGTCAATGAATTGTGCTGTTTCAACAGGATCAGACTAGAGGGAGAGGCCGGAGACTCTCCACATATAGTGCCTACGTTGGGTATGTTGGGGTCGAGTCTGTATAGGTAGGAGTTTAACCTGGTGCAGTATCCGAGCCTAAGTTTCGCCAGTGTCACGCGGCTCTCTCGAGGCAGCTCGAGCTCTTCGTATGTTACTCATAGTACGCCATTCACGGGAAGGGAGTCTTTGAAAATGTTGACCGACTCCTGGTAAATGGCGCTCAGTGCTTGTCTTTAGGCCGTCCTGTCCAGCGGTTGTTGAACGTGTTGCTGCATTGTGGCCTTCATGTCAACTACTTCCTTTTTTATGCGCGTGGGTGAAGGCTCATTTTCAATAAGATGCATACTGGGGTGCTCCCTGCGGTGGCTTCTTAACTCGTATCATAGTTGTTTCACTGTGCAAGTGTTGCTCCGGAGACATCAGAATGTTTCCTGTCGCTGTCCTGAAGGCAGTGTTATGGCAAGCCTGTAGCTTCTTCATCTGCGTCTCGTTCGTACCAGGCGCCAAGATCGGTGCAGCATAATTAAATGCTTTGTAAGTTCCCAGTACGGTTTCTATATCTTTACCCCAGGTGCTGACGGCTAGCGCTTTGAGTATTTGGTTGCGGCTCTAGAGTTTTGCGGCAATTGCGGATGTATGCAACTCTCATAACAGCCGGGTCTACGCACCGGAGTTGACCCAGGCCAAGGGCTGTCCCCCTTTCGGCGATCTAACCACGTTTAGGTCATCAGGTGGAATTTTACTATCGTATACCTTGCTTTTAGAATACGAACGCGTCATCGGTTCATTTTGCATATCTACATATAATAAACTTTCACCTTTTGATATATAATGCTGTTATTTAATGTATTATTATCGGGAGTGATTATATATTTAGCGCCTTTCTTTATTCTTTAGCACTAATCTTTCGTAATAAATGCGTGCAGTCAAGTTGGTGGTCGAACGAAATAAAAATTGCCAAGGCTATAAACTACTCTATCATCTACTAGACCGTACGCTTTCCAGTCGGTGTCAAGAGAGGGAGTTTTGTAGCAAAAACAACATTAGCTCATCGTCGTTTATTTAATAACGGAAAATAAAATAATACAAAGTAAATTCCAATATTATGTTGAAGATATCTTAGAAAAATACGATAACTTAAAAATTATTGAATGTGATGCTGATGGCACCACAGTACTCCCCATTAAATGTAATCGTTCGGGTTTTCGTACATCTGCAGATTTTTCTAATTGTTGTTGGGCTTGTTGGGTACTCGCTCATTGTATTTACTGCTTTGTCGTTTACCTATGGATATGATGGCTTTAAGCGATCTACGCTGATTTGTACCTTTCGTTCCTTAGTTTTGATGGTGAAATGTTTTTTGTGTCGTTCTAAAACTTCGACTGGTACCTCCCTCTCCTCCCTAGATTTTACTAAAAATTTCTCTGCCGTAGAGCATCGCTGCAAAATCTAGCAAATAGGGAATAAGATAGCGGTCTGGCGTAGTTTTGGCATTGAGCTTGCGATAGTCGCCACAAGGGCGCCACGAGCTGTCAGCTTTCCTTACCAAATGCAATGGACTAGCGTAATTGCTGCTAGATAGGCATGTGATGCTCTGTCGTAGTAGAAACTCAAATTTCTCTTTAGCTACTTGTATTTTTTTGGCTCCAAGCGTCATACTGTAGCAAACACAGCGTGACCGGTGATTTCTATTCTATGCTGCATTGAAAATAGTTTGCGTTCGTTCACCGCGGGTAAGCGCGTGATGTCTTGAAATTCTTCCAACAGGCCGGCGCTTTTCATTTTACTATCAAAAGCTCTAAATGTTATATCGCTTACCTTATGTTTTGTACATGGAGCTCGTATATTCGTTTCGTTGTCGATTAAAATATTGTTTTTTAATCTATTAATAGGCCATAATGACGAATTAAGTCGTACATCGGCTATCGTAAACATTTAGTCGAATAACAAGATCTCACCCACTAATTGGTTTTGCGTCGTTGTTGTTTGATTCGCACAGTTATTGACTTGCAATGGTGCTTACGATGGCATCTGCTATTTTTAATTCTTCTCCTACCGGTCCCGAACGTGCGGCTACTGCTGCTTGAGCGTATATCGGTAATCATTTGGCCCATATATTTTAAACATGGCATCGCTTACCAATCGCATCATAACTGCGTACAAGTTTGCTAGGCTTTTGATCCCCCAACTGCGTTTCGTTCAAGATACAAACTATTCTGTCACCTATATGTGGCACCACATATATAATACCACTTGTACTATGAAAGTTTTTACAGTAATATATGTATTTTATTGTTATTAATTTTTTTACTCTGTTATTGCGACAACCGTCCTAGGTCCCGGTTTAGCATTTTTAGTATATCCTTCGGCAGTGCTCCAACTACCTGGATCTCCATTGTGGTCCTGCTTGTTTTTCTTTATGCTACTACTTATTGGCCTTGATTCGCAATTCTGCACCATGGAAGGGTTTATCACAGCAATTATTGATGAGTGGCCACAACTGCTGCGGAAACGCAAAGAAATATTCATTGCTGTTGTATGCGCACTAAGTTATCTTGTTGGCCTTACATGTATATCCCAGGTTTGTTTATAGTTAATATAATATTATTGATGTGTATCTTACTGATATTACTGTTACTGCATATAAATGTATAAAAAAATATCCTGCATGAATTCGATCAGGTAGAAGATACCTGAGGTTGACTCATATTTCATATGCATATTTGTCTGGAGTATTTTTTATTTAATTTTTTTTTTGTAGAAAACATACAAACTTACTTTACAACTTAAATTAAGTTTTCGACAATTTTATCTATTTCTGAATAAATAACGGCAGAAGATTGAAATCTTTCCAACATCTCATTTTTAATTTTAATTTAGTAACACAGAAGGTTTCTTGCTTTAACCGTTTCGAAACTGCTAATCCCAAAATGTTTCTTAAATATGCTGACCTAGAAAATACCATATGAAATTGGTTCAAGTAGATCCCAACACGTTCTTTATGCTTATGCTTGCATTGTTGACAGTTTAGTCGGAAACAAAACTTTCAATATTTGACAGAGGGTATTTTGCTTCCCACGTGGTTTTGTGTTTTGAAATTTTCTTCCCGGAGTATTTTACGTCAAAATTAAATAAATATCTACTACCAACATCTGAAGTTTCCCGAGATTGTTATAAAATAATTGTGTAGTTAAACGGATATATTGCACGTAAAAAGGGATCTTAATTATTACCTTTTTTGCCACTTTCTTTTATGTGGGATAAAAATATATCTCAAAATAGTCCCGACCAAAACGACAGTTGGGACATTTTAGTGCCGGCCAGAAAGACTATTGGATCATTTTAATCCCAGGACTCTAAATACTGTACAGGGCTTAAAAAAAAAACAGGAATTAATTTGACGGTAGGAACAAGTGATTTCGTAACAAAGAAATCTGTAGGCATCGTNTTATTTATTTTTTGTTAAAACATAGCTTCAAAGATGAATACAATTTTAATATTATTAAAATGATTTAGGGTGGAATGTATATTTTCCAAATTTTGGATTCATACGCTGTTAGCGGCTTTTGTTTGCTTTGGCTAATATTTTTTGAATGTATATCGATATCGTGGTTCTATGGCGTTGACCGTTTTTATGATGGTATAAAAGATATGATCGGCTATTATCCAATGGTTTGGTGGAAGTTCTGTTGGTGTGTTACGACTCCGCTTATTTGCTTGGTAAAAAATAGAGTTTATAAATAATTAATAAAGTTCAAGACATACTTTTTTAATATTAATATTTACAGGGCGTGTTCTTCTTTAACATAGTTCAATGGAAACCAATTAAGTATTTAGATTATAACTATCCATGGTGGGCACATGCTTTTGGTTGGTTCACAGCATTGTCGTCGATGCTTTATATACCAGCTTATATGTTTTGGCTTTGGAAGAAAACACCCGGAGATACAGGCGAGGTAAGTGGATTAACTCAATACTATTCTCTGTTTTGGAAAAGAGCATTAACGGATAGAATTAAACGAAATCATCTGAATCAATAATTCTTTTTTAGATGAGTTGGTTTGAGTGGGCATGTGAAGAATGGTTAGTGCCTTACGGATACTCTCCACATGTAGGGCATACGTTGGGTATGCTGGGGTCTAGTCTCGATAAGTAGGAGCTTAGCCTGCTACAGTATCCAGACCTTAGTTGTGTCGGGGTCACGCGGGTCTCTAGAGGCAACTCGAGCTCGTTGTCTGCGGTAGCATCCCAATAGGAACTGCTTGCGCAGCAAAGCATTATGCTCCTTAACTCATAGCATAGATGCTTTGCTGTGCAAGTGATGCTCCGGCGACATCAGGAGGTTTCCTGTCGCAAAAGTTTCTTTCTTTTCTTGTCTTTTATGCGGAATGAAAGAGGGCAGGCTGTCTAGAGTTACTCGCAATATCTTTGGGTTATTTATCGTCGGAATTTTTGTCATCGGATTTTCGCAATTCACGACGACCCTGCGGAATAAACGGTGACGTCTGATGGAGTGGGAAGAGCACTAAAGGCGTTCTCAGTGAATTCCGTGAAGCCGGGCCAGTTAGCTTTTTTGATGTTAACAAATATCCGGTGATCCGCGGAAACAAACTCGGGAGGCCTGTCAATCGAGATTGGTATAGGCAAATGGTCCGATGTTAGTGTCAGTATAGGTCGCCCGACTATACTGTTTATCAGACCAGTACTCCCAATTGTTATATCCGCCGAGCTTTGGCAATTACCCATAACTCTGGTTATTTGCATTGTGCAGAATGTCAAATCGTCTATCTGTACTGCTAGCTCCATTCCTCTACGGTCATTTGACAGGCTAGAAAGCCAAAGATCGTGATGTGCGTTAAAGTCGCCCAAAACCAAATGAGCAACTTGTAACTGAAGGAACGCATATATTAAATATCTTGAGCTCGGCATCGCCTGACTGGATAGCTATGCCCTGACATTCTAGGGTAGTATCCCTGCGGTCGATGTCGCCGTCGGTAACACGATACTGCGCGGTGTTGCGCAGGACGGTCAACTTCGTTTCCTGAATCGCAGCAATTGACAGGTGCTCCCGGCTCATGTAGGTGGTGCGCACGCCAGAGTACGTCTGAAAATTACACCAGCCAGAGCAAGAGTTGCATCTATTGCGGTCATGTTCCGACGCACTATGGTCTGACACTCGGAACAGTCTGTGCGGGGGGCCAAGAACTGCTGGGTAGCGCTCGCACGGGAGAAAGATAAGGAGCTGGTTGTGGGTAGGGATGGGAATGGAGGTTGGTCGGAGACATGCTGCGGGAGCCCCGTGAGACCATAGAGGTCTGTTGATTGTCCAAATTGGGTAAAGCTGCTGATCGCGCTGCCGTAGAGTCTGGGGGCGTTTGATCGCAGGCAGCACAGGGCCACATAACTAGTGGTCTACTCCCTGTGGGTCTTAAGGCCTGAGCAGGTCTTAAGGTGACTCCACCCATTGCACTGGGTGCACCTAACCGAGGAGGAGCAGTGGTGGAGGCTTTTATGATACACGCGGTAGAAATAGTTCATCGGAACAGGGTTGGTTGCGACACTAGCCCTGATAAGAAGGACTTGGAGCAACCCATCTGAAAGGTGTTGCTCCGTTGCCGAACTAAGACTAATGTTACCTATTGACCTGAACGGGGTTTGGTCGCCAACAGAGTGACAGCCCCTGGTCGGGTAAAAGCCGGGTCAACTCCGGTACATGGAACCGGCTGTCTTGAGAGTTGGTTTAACAATGTAATCCATCATTATTAAATTTTTCCTCATTGAATGTCAATCTTCATTTCTTAAATGTTGCTCAAATCGAGTTTTTTGAGCTTAGTCTCAGGAAATACAACAGACAAAATGATAGAGCTAACATTAATTCAAATAAACAAATGTCACGAACTTGAGACAATTATGATCTCACCAACAACAATAAGAAAAATCTTCCGAATAATTAGGAGATTTTATGGTGGTCAAAAGATAAAATATATATTAATTATATAGTATGCTCTGACGTCCTACAGGATTATGACCCGGCCTTTTGAGAAACTTCTTAATATCGTTCACCACTTTGTCTGTTATTCCTTATAGCCGCCGACATACGTTAGTGTCAGAATTTCCAGTGTGTTGTTTGTGTCAAGAGCTATTGCTACTCTTCCTATGATCTGCTTGTATACTAATAAGTCTCGGGGACAGTTTTTCTCAAGAGTTTACCACTTCTTGAAGGGAAATTTCTTTCAGATGAAAGGAAACTACTGGTTATTAGTTATCCTTACTATCTAAGGAAATGTATAGCTAAGTGGGTACTATTCTCTTAAGAAAAATCACATCTGCTAAGGAACGGAAATGAGCTTGCTTGTCCTTCTTCATTTTAACCGCCATTATAGAATTTATGCTATGAAGTCATAGCATATTAAAAAAGATATTTATATTTCCTTTCTCTTTGTTCATCGTCCCTTCGTGACTATAGCAACTGCTTGCGATCGCTTTGTAGTTAAACGAATACGAAATTATCTTGCATTGATTTAAGTAATTTTAATAAAATTACATCGGCTTACTCTTTCAAGCGTATTACAAATTAGTACTATTTGCAAATCAAGTAATTTTCTTTTTTTTAGCAAAAATTTAACCAATGATCGCATATCATATGTACATATGTAAGAATATGTTTTTTCTTGCATACTAAATCATAACGGCTGAAGCTACCCTTACGGAAAGCTACGTATTCGCAATTTTCCCTCAATAATATGTATAAAAAATGTGATCTCTTGTTGAAAATTTTACTGGATTGTTGCCTCAACGAACGCGGCCAACAACTTGCCAAACAGAACTTATATCTTTTCCATAAGCCATGCCATCAGATTTTACTATTTCGTTGTTATGTAATCTTCCAATAAGACTTTCATTAAATTTGTCATAATTCTGTTTTCAGAAAGTCCGAGCGATCATTCGAATAGATGAAGATATAAAGCATCTCAGAGATAAAATGCAACAACAGACAACTAAAAACGTGGAGCTTTATACTCTTTAGAGTAAATTCATTACAACCTAGGTTAAGAAACATATATCCATTTTTTTCATTTTAACTAAATAGTGATTCCAGGAAAGCTTTTAGAGATGCATTATATAAATACTTGTCCAAAATTGTCTAGAATTTTAAGCATTAGAAATTTGCCCAAAAGTCTTAAAATGTAACTTTTACTAGAAGTGATAGGGAATGAATTATTTATAATTTAAGATAGAATTACAGTTACGGCAGGCATGTATAGTAAGTTTATAATTATTTCAGGCTAGTATATATATAGTTTATATAGCGGGTTTTTCCATTTTGGGGGATTCACACTTGTTCCTGGGCTACAACGTTTTAAGTGATATATTTACAAAATATATACTTAATGGAAATAATTTAAGTAGTTCAACTTAAAATACGTTATGGGATTTAGATTTTTTTTAATTGAATTTATTCTATTGTAAATTATTGAGGTCCTTCTCTTCTGCGCTTACTTTTTTTTAAAAAATATATTAGATAATTATATCTAGATAATTACCTTGCCTTACTGAAATTTCACATTCAACGTATATAAAAAGAAAAAAACAATTTAAATGCTTACAAATGCAAAGAATTGTGTTTTTCTAGATACCAAAATATTGTATTATTTTAAATTATTTAAAATTTTTACTTTAATCGATATATTGCTAATAATATACTGTTCAGTTGATAAAAGTTTGAATTTGTAAATATTGTTAATTTCTGAGTAAATTGCTTAAGTGTTGTCTTATTGATATGTGTTTCACTAAAATTAAACCGTACGGACATGCCTGCTAAGTACAAATGACAGTCGTATGTTTTCTAACATGATTATGACACAATTAGCTTAAAATAACAGTACACTACATATATGGTCCGATAGAATGCATCAAATATTATAGCTCGCTTTGTAAATTGTATAACAAATAATAATTTTTGAGAACGTGCTGAAAGAGACTCTTGATTAAATGTTTTAAAATTTTCTTACATCGCCGCCCATAATTGTTTTGACACAAGTAATATGTGGCGACTTTCCTGTTGCCTCTGAATCAATAACGAATAATCAATTAATTACATTGTTTCTGTTTTATTATTGAAAACATTAGCAAAGAAAAGTATTCTTTGTATTTCATTATTTTCTTTCCCAGTGCGCAAAAAATATATGTGACCTCATCACGAGCTTTTATTATGTTTACGTCAAATTTTGCAATTTCATTTGGCACAGCAAATTGTAAAAGTTTTCACACCATAGAAAATTTTTCCCGATTAAGTTTTACCCTATGAAAAAAGCCTAAGTAATATTACCGATTTTTTTTTAGCGGCGTTGGGTTTCCTAACGCCAATTAGAAGTAACGCGCTCTATTCCTAAATACGAAATCAAACGTTTTGGCGTTTTGTCGTTCTCTTCAAGCAACATACGGTAAAGCCTTGAGTCACGGATAATGAGAGAGGAAGCTGCAGTGGAGCCACTTTCGGTTTGAAAGCGGTTAGCTATAGAAATAAGTAAAAACTTTAAATTTGTTCGCCTTGCGTGGTTCTACGCTGGGTTTGAGACCCACCACTTAGAAACCAGAAATTAGCAACGCCTCGGATGATATACATCCTTTCTGAGTCGAGAGAGACTCCGTCGTCGAGTATTGGCATTCACCCCGGTGGATAAGCGTCTCGCCAAAATACGCACCAAAGCGAAATTCTTTAACATATCGTTGATTTGCCCCCATACCCCGTCGGAAGAGAAAAACAATTTGGCCAAAGATGCCTTTTATGAGTGCCTATGAGTGCGGGCAAAGAAGCTATTTTCGGTATTAATGGAAAATTCAGCCTCTAACATTCCCTACTGGATTGAGGCTGATCCACTTCGCCAGAGCCCAAAATATGGTTGTCTGTAGTACTAGCTTTGAGCACAAGAAAATACATCATGCTATTTGGCTGTACCCTGATCGGAAAACACAAAACCAAATCGATCATTTTGTGCAAGGCGGAAGGGATGTCTCCAGTGTTTTTGACGTGCGAACACTCTGAGGACCTAACAGCAACTTGCACCACTATCTTGTTGCAGCGAAGATACGCATGCACATTTATGTATCGAAGATCGTCCGTCAACAAACACAAGGAAAGTTCGCCGTCGATAAGCTGTAATCACAACAGACTTCCGAATGATTTTCTACTTGACTTGCAGTCCTGCTCTCTGAGAGCTTTCATCAGCATCTCGATATAAAGGACCAATGGGACGGCATTTCAAGCTCTCTATGTACAGCTGCAAACGAAACTCGCAACGTTGCGATCGACCACAACACGCGCGGGATGGGATAGATACCGAGAACTGAATAGGAAAGCAAGACGTATATGTAGATAAAAGAAAGAAAGGGGCCGAGCTGTGTGAGTATGAGGAGCTTTAGAAGCTGGCCGACAAACGTAACGCTCGAAAATTCAGAGCGAAGATACGGAAGGTTTCAAGACTAGAACAGACTCATGTAGCACACAAAGAGGTGATCCAGCCATCGATGCTCAGAGCATATTATAGAGGGAACACTTCTCCAGTCTGCTGGATAGTTGTGAAAATAGATTATCCGAAGATGGTCAACCCCAAATCCCAATCGATGACGGTGGAAAAGACATTCCATTACCTGACCATCAAGAAGTTCGAATAGCAATTGCTCGCGGCGGGAGCTGACAGCCCACCGGCAGAACTATTCAAACATGGCAGTGAAGAGCTGACAAGGTGCATGCATCAGCTACTTTGCAGAATATGGTTGCACGAAAGTATGCCCGACTATTGAGATTTAAGTGTGCTCTGCCCAATCCATAGAAAAAGGGACCCCCAGTCTGCGTCAATTATCGTGGGATAAGCCTCCTTAATATCACCTTCGATAATACGAATAGGAGCTGCTCTTAGGACGCTTTGCTTGAATTTGGTATCCCCGCAAAACTTATGTGCCTATGTAAATTGACATTACACATCACTAAACACCTCTCCGAGTCGTTTGATACCAAACAAGGTTTTAGACAGGGTGATTAATTGGCATGTGTGTTTTTTAACAGTGCAAGCGTACACCGATGATGTTGGCATTATTGGCCGTAATAACCGCGCCGTGAGTTCTGCTTTCTCCAGACAGGATAAGGAAGCGAAAAAATGGATCTGGTAGTGAACTAGGGCAAGACGACATATCTTCTGTCATCGCATTAGCGACTTGGCTCCCGTGTCAATATTGACAGTCATAACTTTGAAGTGATAAATAATTTCGTCTATCTTGGAACCAACATCAACACCAGTAATGCTGCCTGACTTGAAATCCAGCGCAGAATCACTCTGACCAAAATGAGCTTTTTTGTGCTGAGTTAGCAATTGAAATTTAAAGTCCTCTCCCGACGAATGAAAACCGAACTCCACAAGTACCTCATCGTATCGGGCCTTTTATGTGATGCGGGAGCATGATGAGTCTGCGTTAAAAGAAAGGCGAATATCGCAGACGATGGAGTTATACGGCGACATTGACATACTCGTAATTCGGCGAATCTAGAAGCGTAGCCGCTGGCTAAGTCATGTGGTTCGGATGGATAAGAATACTCCACCTTGCAGTACCCGCTGATAGAAGTAGAATAGGAGGAAGACATCCACTCTATTGGAAAGACCATGTAGAGAAGGTCCTTGCTGTACTTGGTATTTCCAATCGGCTTCGATTAGCAAAATAAATAAGCGAATGCCGCAATGTTGTTAACTCGGCTATAATTACTATGGTCATCAATGTAATGTCACAAATGAATTCCAACATTTCATCACTGCTTTATGACCATCCCATTTCAAATAGCTTAAGGAGAGTTTGGTCAAAAAAGCACCATTTCTCAGACTATTCACAATTGTGAGATTGATAATTATGACGCATTCAAGTAGGACAGTTAGTAAACTGTGTAAAAATAATGGAGTGTTAGAATTGTAAAAATTGCCGTGACGTGTAGTAAAGCGAATTGTTAGTTATTGAGTTACAAATAAACGTTGGTTATGTTCTTTAAAGAAAGAAATTTTAGAACAAATCCTTGGACTTTTACTTAACAATGCAGCGATCGAACTCGAATGATTAGGGGATTTGTCGAGGCGTGTTAAGCGATAATTGTTACAGTCGGTCAGAAGGAGGATTGTTAGAAAAAATTCTCGGATAAGCATTCACAAATGGTCAAGATTTAAAATTTGAAGATACAACCGCTTAAAAAGGAACCATAAAGCGATGATTATCCATAAGCACAAATAAAGAGCTTTAAGAACGGCTGTGAGAAGCTGTGGAGGTGGAAAGTATTGACATGATCCAAAGCATGAGGAGAAGGCTATTGATTCTGCGAAGGATTTGGAGCAGCCATCAACAAAATTTAAAAAAATTGTTGATGTTGTAAAACCAAAAGGCGCAGATTTCATCCTATTTCCTCCAGCTTAAGGAAAGTTTGGTCAAACACAGGGCCGCCCTTAGGTAGAGACCTACAGTTTATATTGAGCCGCCTCGGAGGGGCCGAAGGTTTTTATGAGGAGCCATTATTTCATGTCAGAAATATACTTGGAGGGGTTGACATTCCCTGGCGAGGGGCGATCGCAATTAGAAAATTTAACTTAACTTTAATATTCTATATCTTTGGGATGTTGGGTGTATTTGCACATATATATTACCAACGCGCCCAGCAAACATCGTCTTACCTTAATTATATGCATATATATTACATTTACAGTCATAATGAAATAAACGTAGACAAGCGGACCCCACAGACGTTGTCCTCTCTATACGTCTTAAGTATGAGCAACGAGACCGTTATGATAAAAAATTGTATTAGAAACTTATTACAATACCTAACGTCATTATTATGTAATTTTCACAACCAATCGATAGCATGTGAGTATGTGTATTAGTATGCTTTCAGAGATGTTAAATGTAGAAACTGTGTTCAATTATAAAAGTCGTTTCAATTGAAAGTATCAGGTGTACAACTTTGCTTCCGCCGTTTTCCGATAGGGGGCTGTACCGGCTGAGGCTGTTTTCGTATTATTCACGCTCGAAAATGTCCGTTTATGTGTCTAATTCTCGCCAAGTTTTACTTTTCTGTTACAATTCGAAAAAAATGCAGCTGAAGCTCATCGAATGTTCTCAGAAACTTACGGTGATGCTGCTCTGAGTGAAAAAACGTGACGGGAGTGGTTTCAACGTTTTACAAATGGTAATTTCGATGTCGAAGACAAACATGGTGGTGGAAGAGAAAAAACCTTCAAAGATGAACAATTAGAAGCATTGCTTGATGAAGATTCGTGCCAAACCCAAGAACAGCTTGCCGAATCGTTGGGAGTGAGTCAGTAAGCCATTTCAAAACGTCTCAAGGCCCTGGGCATGATTCAGAAAGAGGGAAACTGGGTGCCGTACGTGTTGAAATCGAGGCACATCGAGCGAAAGTGGTCAAAAAGTACCTGGAAACGCTGAAATGGAAAGTCTTGCCCCACCCGCCGTATTCCCTAGATGTCGCCCCTTCTGACTTCCACCTAGTCCGTTCGATGGCACACGGCCTGGCAGATCAACATTTGCAATCCTTCGAAGAATTGGAAAAATGGATTGCTTCATGGATAGTGTCAAAAGAGGATATTTATTATTAGAGTTAGTTATCTACAAATACGGTAATTATCGTAATTCCATCGAATGTGCAATATTTTTGGTTAATCTTTGAGTGGTACAAACAAATAAATTCGATGGTTTCTCCACTATCGAGCACGCAATGTATAAT